AAAAGACTATAATACATTATTTCTCTGCATCTTTAGTATAAATTCTTACAGTCACAGAAAACTATAAAACTTTACAGATATAAAATATATTTTATATTCACCCTAAAAACAATTTCCATCCTTCCGCAATGCCTATGTAGGATTGACATCATTGTGACAAAAAGATGGGTAGAATTTAGTCACACTGCAGTTTCCACAAAAAAGTGAAAAATATAGATATTTTTGAAAAAGCCCAGAATCTTTCCATTTTTAAAGTGTCCTAATTAGTTGAGAAATAATTGTATGGGAAGCATAGGAAATGGCATTTATACTGGGTTATAGTCTAAAAGCTTAATGAAATCAATGACCAAAAGTCAAGCTCAAAAACTATAATACTTTAATGTGATAAACACTGCCATGATATTGAAGTGATATTGAAATAAATGAAAATATAAATGATTTAGTATCCATTTAACTGACTTTGGTGAGCTTGACTTTTTCATAAGTTTAAGGATCCCTGCCAATATGTATAAAATTCTGATGAGTTCCATTATCCTGGTGTATGACCATAATAGAACTTTATTTGATGTGTTCCCTTTCATCACGTTGTTTTTCTTTAATTTATATTTAATTGTTTTAAATGGCTTTCATATAATGTTTTAATTGTTATCCAGAGAGATTTTGCGTGAGATGGGTAGCCATATAAATTTGATAAACAAAATAAAAATATATAAACAAATACATTTTATACAGTGTGGGTAAAAACAGCGAACTTACAGGATGGTTAACTTTGGGGTGATCATTGTGCTTTTTTTTCAGGTCCTCATATTTTGCTTCTTCTTGGTGTCTCTTTTCTTCATCCAGTGTTTTTAAATATTCTCTCCTTTCATGTTCTTTCATCATCTCATACTTTTTAAACTCCTCATGGCGGTCATTGTCATAGTTTTCTAAGTCATGTGTAGCCTGCAAATAAGAAGAGTTAAAAATGGGGGGGGGAGCCTTTTTTTTTTTTTCTAGAGTGAGGATAAACATTGAGCTAAGCAGCATTAAGAAACTCCTGTTTTACCAGGCCATCTTCTCGTTTCCCTCAGGACATTTTTCTCAGGATATATTCAAGTTCGTAAAGAATTCCTGAACAATAAATTTCAATTCATTATAAACTTACTCTTGAAAAAAATCTTGAAGCACCAAGATAATTAAATCTAGACTGAAAGACAAAGACGCCAGCTTAAATCTACAAAGAGAAACCCTGATTGCAACTAAAGAATTTACAATGCAAAAAACAACAGAAGCTGAAGAAATTAATACCAAGACGGAGGACTTTAAAGAGCAACAAGTACAACTTACTGAAAATTTAGACAATCAAATAACAACTATAAAACTGGACATGACTTTCTACACAAACCAGAAGAAACCTGAGGAAGAAGAAGACCAGATCGAATTGAAGACAATTGTATTAGAGCAAATATGGGGACATGGGCCACCAGGGTGACAATTCAATGATTATATATGGGCCAGTTCTTTTAGAAAACTGACAACTAGATGGTCTCCTTTGATTCAAGTAACATGTACAAGAATGAAGGGAGATCTATCTGATGAGTTAAAAGCATTGGTATGGAAGCCTGGTTGGCATAAAAAGAAAGCTAGACTGAAAAAAGGGGGTCTTTTGGTCTACTACAGAGGATCCTAAATTGCTAACTATTGGGCTAAAGGGAGATTCTGAGATAGTGGAAATTTTGATTATTAGATTAAAATAGTTGGAAAATAGTAAAAAAATAAGGGATTAATTTGTTTAATATTGAGAATCTAGAATTATATGGGAAATGAAAATTAACTACTAGGAAATAGGCTTGAATTATTGTTTAGCGCAGATAATATAGATAATAAAGAAAACTCCACTATTAAGGTGATGATGTATTAGGGCGAGAAATAGAAAATGTTTATGAAATAAAACTAGAATATATTTAAGTAAGTAATATGTGCATTTTAGACATTATAATTTTTATGTAGTGAGGCAAAGGAAATTTGGGTTACCCGAAACTTAAATACTTTGGATATTAAAGGTTAAATTGGAGTACTGTAATTAAAAAT